TATGCTTGGGCCCAGATCAGTTTGACCGAAAGTGATTTGTAATATTCAATAGTCGTAATCCCCCAAAAACAGAACAGGGAGGAGGAAACCAAAAAGCTGGGCAAAACAGATCAAGAGAGCACGATTTATTGGCTACTGGAGAAGCTGGAGTTAAGTCTGCATTATACCTGAGGCAGGGGTCTGCCACGGGGCTCCTGGAGAAGATCCTTCACTGTTTTTTCTCCCTCTCCAGCAGTGGAAAAGTTCCCTAGACTCCTCCTAAAGAGAAGGCCCTGCTGGGAATAATTTTAAAAAACTTTATTTCTAGACTACTCTCTCTCCCTGAAGGGACTCAGGAAGGCTTACACACACAAAAAGGCAAGCGTTCGATGCCTCAGGTAAGTACAAATGTATCAAATTAATGCACAATAAAGCAACAGTAATAACAGTAAATAACAGTGTCTTCCCCATGAAGTGGGGAAAGACACTTTCCCAGCAGCACTTGCATGGGACGGGCATTGAAAAATCTCTGAGTTCCTCTAGGAGAATTATGGGAATTGAAGTTTTTTCTCCCTCTGTTTCTCAGCCAGTAAGAGGCCTGGTTGTGTCCATGCTCTGATTGGCTGTGAATGGACACAACTGGTGATTACAATTCCCAGAACCCTCTCTTGTGGTTTGCCTTATTTTTTTAAAAAAATGTTATGGTAAAAACTTAAAATAATTAAAAGAACAGTAGATTGGTGAATTGTTCTGAAACTTGTCAGACCTACAGTTGTAAATGGGGGTCTAAAATGGAGGTAGGTTTCATGCATATACATCTTAAAATGACTGAGGATTGAGCCTTTAAAGTTTCCCATTGTAGCAATGGGCTGAATCTGCCAAATAAAAATGGCAACACTCCTCCCAATTCGAGTAACTTCCCAGTAGACAGAATGAGGAGTAAACCAAAAATGGACCTCGAAACAGCATGCCTTTTGGCCAAATTGCACAAGCCTAGTTTCTACCATTCCATTCCTCTGCCCAACCACCACTGAATGACTGAATGCAAACCCTTCTGCGTCTTGAACTCAATCTAAGAAGTAAGCTGGAGACAAAGGGGGTATTTTAAAAGAAAACTGGGACATTTTAAATGTCGTTCAAAAGGATACAACAGTGCTATCCCTGATGAGCCAGGTCAATTAGAGACTATAACAGGATGCAGGCCTCTGTGTGCCAAAAGGTTGCCAGAGTGTGAGGTGAACCTATAGTAGTAGGTTGTCTTTTTATGCTCCATTATTGCCACTTTAACATCTACCGTAGTGGCCTAGTTATCTGGGTTTATTTTGAGCAGAGATAAAGATCTTTAGTTTTTAATTAATAATACATAGCTGTAAAATCTGAAAGGCTATCTATAATTCATATATCAGTATCTCAGAAGAAGACATTTGTACATTATATATTCAGACAGGCAGGGGGGATCCTCTCTTTTATTTAAAGGGGTTTTTAAAGAACAAAAATAAGAAGCCAATTCCAATGTTATGTCAGACTACACTAAACTGGAACAGATTTCCCAAGTTTTACAGTTCTCAATCTTGTCTGCACAGACATTGCAAAGCAAATTACAAAAGAAGTAACAGCTCCCCAAATTGTTAAACCCTGTGGCAAGAAAAAAAGTTTTCACAGTGATCTGGTTTTGAAACAACCAACTACAAACGTATAACAGGTGGCAAAGAAAGAGCTGAAAAGAGCGGACCATAGGAAAAAAATATCTGTTTACATCATGATCTCAGAGCTTGGGAAAATTATTTTGGAGTTCCCCAGCATTTTGAAAGTTGTATTCCCCAGAAAGTCCTGAAATGATCCTACGAATGTCATAATTCCTTACACAGACAAACAGCCCAGATGAAATACAATGCAAGCAGGACTGCTGGTGGGTTTAGCACTGCTTGGTGCCTATTCTAGCAATCCTATATCTTTCTTGTTCCTGTGAGCCATATCTTCTTTCTTATTCCTCCTTTCTGTGACCTACAAACCTGGCATAGGGGGAGGCAGCAAAGACAGGAGTATGAACTCCAGATAGCCTCTTCTAGTTCCCAGAAATTTCTAGGCCATAGGTCATGCCATAAGGCACTACTGGCACACTGTGAGCACTCTTGATCCTTACAAGCATTTGGCACATTGCAAGCATTGTTGATCCTTGCAAGCATTTGACTGCAAGAAAGGAATGAAATATCTCAAACAGGAACACTCTGCATTGAAGCATTTTAGGTGGGTTCTGCTTGTTGGTGTCTAGTAGCCAGGATTGATGAAAGTATCATGCCCTAGATACATCATTTGGACCAGCTAAACTCATGAGGAAACTGGAATGTACTTGTGTGCTAAAATCTGTACTGTTCGGAATTTTATGAACTTTTGCATAATGTGGCTGTGAGTTTTTTTTTTTGGCTGAATGGCCATGTTCCAGCAGTATTCTCTCCTAACATTTCACCTGCATCTGTGATCAGCATCTAAAGAGACCAGATGCCATCCACAGATGTAGGTGACATGTTAGGAGAAAATATTGCTGGAACATGACCATACAGCCCAAAAATGCACAGCAATCCAGTGATTCCAGCCATGAAAGTCTTCAACAACTTTGGCACAACTCAAAAAACGTACAAAATCAATCAAAAGCAGTATAAAGAAGCAACAATTCAAACCAGCAATCAAATAAGCAAAAGCAAAAACAGGCACTACCTGAATGATACAAAAGTTCTGTGTAAGTACAAACAAATTTCTATTTGTAATTAATTCATGATATTCTAGTTGATGTTCAAGTTTCTAGTATCCATCAAGGACAGAAAAAAGAGCAACGATGATTGCAACTATAATCTGGCTCAAAGCCTAAACAACCAAGTAAGTGTTTCATGTTTACACTCATAAACTCATTATGTGAGCCATTATTTTTTCTGGAACTCTTAATTGCAGGTTACTTTCAAAAATAAGAACAGGAAGAGGGAATTGAAACTTAGTCAGACAACACTATTCCTCAAATTTTTATCATTGACCTAAAGCAAAACTGCACAAGTCCATCTACATGTGTCTACAATTGCCATGGCTGCTATTTTTCATTTGCAATACTTCTGACTTCTTTCTTCTTCATTGGTTTGCTGTACAACTTCCTAAATTGTTTACTTAAATATCTCACCCAAGTATGTCTGATCTGCTCACCCACTAGTTGCCATAACTCTACTATTCTAGATGTGGGTGGCAACTGCAAATGAATGGACTCCATTGTCAGCCTTGGAGAGTTACATCCACTGCTGCACCCTCACACCTGATTTAACTTTTGTTATTTATTTTTGCTAGAAATTGTGCCACACATCTACATGGAGGGAAAGTTCCAATTGTTCTTTTCCAGGGTTTGGTTTATTTCCTGGTGAGGAAAAAATGTCTCTTGTAGTATAGCATCCCAAAGGGGAAATCAATGTTGAGGGTGTTTTAGAAGGATGACATTCCCATAACATTATATTGCTTTCTTGCAGAAAAATGCAGGAAAATCACATTTCTTACCCCTCCCCCAGAAGGGACATTTTTCTCTATACAAGGGCAGAAGCAACTGGCACAGGCAACATAGAAGTACTGACACATTTTCTTGGTATTAATACATTACAAAGTCTAATTCACAGAAACAAGAAGTAAAGGTATTTGCCTATCGAATCAGATGTCTCACTTCTCCTTTCTCATATAGTACAGTTGTTATTACAACTGTGGTATATCATACTTTTTTCTCACAGTACCTTGTCACCTTACTGAACTACACAACTACACAAATAGTGAGAGGACAGAACGTGAGTCAGTAACAACCCAGAGGAAACACAAAGTAAAGTTGTCACATTGACAAGGAAGGGACCAGAATTATGATCCAAAGAACAAAACTCTTAGTGTAGTGCATTTAGACAGAAATGTCCTATATAATATCATATATGTGGAACATGTTTCTTGGCTTTGCCTTCATTCCCTGGCATTATTGCCATGTTTATGGACTTGTGGCAAAGCCAAAAGATACTAGATGAAGTTACAAATACTGACCTACCATTAAAACCTGGTCTTCTTCTTGTAAAATTCATGGATGATAAATTAGAAAAGAATCGTGAAACAATCCTTTAATATATGACTTATGGCTGCAGAATTATTATATCTCCAGAAATGGCAAAATACTGTTTTGCTTCCAAAAGAAAAAAGAAAATAAAGAAGAATTGTTACTAAAAAATAAGTTGGCAGAGATGGATAGGTTGACTATTTGAATTTGAGAAAAGATGCTAGTAATTTTTAAAAGAGCTGGAAATCCTGAAATGACTTAGTGGAAAAGATCAAAAGTGATTATTGGTTTTCAATATTAATATGAATACGATTTATAGAGGAAGTGCAACAATTTTGGTTAAGAAGTGGGAAGTCAGAAAGCTGGAAATTACTATATAATATACTAGCTTGGGGACCCAGCGGTGCCTGGGTGATTTGAGATAGGCATTGTTTGCCAAGCTTGGTCTTTATCAGTTATTTATGTGGCTTGCAGTGGTCTCAGGAAGTTAGTGAAGGTACTGCGAGTCCCATCGTCCATGGTCCACCCTCCTCCAAACAGCACCAGGATGTAGAGTGGGTCATGGGGTCTCTGTGTGTCAAGTTTTGTCTTGATCAGTCATTGTAGGAGGGTTGTAGCAGTTTCGGGAAGTGAGTGAAGGTACTTCAAGTCTCATCATCGATGGTCCATCCCCCCCCCCCCAAACCTCACCAGGATGTAGAGTGGTTCATGGGGGCTCTGTGTGCCAAGTTTGGTCTTGATTTGCCATTGGTGGAGGTCACAGTGGTCAGTGGTTGCCCAAGCATTTTAAAGTATTACAAATCCCATAGTCCGTTGTCCACCTCCCTCGTGTTTTCATATAGTCATGCATCCTTGATAAAGGTTTTTTCCTTTCTCAGACCCAAAAGGGAGGAAGCCCAGTAACCACAATGCAGATTAGAGCACATGAAGCCCCCATCAGAGCAGTTTCACTTCTGCAGTAAAACAAAGTTCCCCTTTAGCAGCCAACCAAGAGGGAGACGGTGAGGAAGTGAAGTTGATAAGCTGCAACAGGAATGGTATCTTTTCAGCCTGTACATCCTCTCTTTAGAAGACGGCCGTGAAGCCTGGATCAAGCAAGTCCCGGATACCCCAGAGTTATGCTATTCTGCCTCTTCTGTTCTTCCACCTGCTCTGCAGAGAGAAAAAGATACATTCTCATCTGACAAAGCAACAACAATGGCAAACAATTCAGGTGGGTGATGCTGCTGGTGGTTTATTGGGCATGCAGAGGGAACATAAAGATTTACTAGGAAGGAGAGTCCTCAAAACATATCAGGACCACTGTATGCAGGGCCGTAGCCAGAAATTTTTTTTGGGGAGGGTTGACAATTTTGGGGGGGGGGTTGAAAATTTGGGGGGGGGGGGGGGGGGGGGGGGGGGGGGGGGGGTTGAAACCTGCCTCCTAGCTCACGCTGAAGCAAAGAGCACAGCAGGAGGCAGAGCAGCCTTCAATAGCCTGCAGCTCCGCCCCTGTCAACCACCTCCACCAAGTCTGGCCTCCTTAATGAGAGCATTCAACACACACACACCCCAACTTGGTTGCTTCACTACATCGGCTATTGCTGCAAGTAATGACAGTGTGAATAAATTGTCAATATTTGCCTGAGATAGTGCTTACAGTTCTGGAGGGACTCTTAATTTTTTGCATCTCATAGACTTAGCATGGGGATTTGGTTAACCAGTTAAAATTCATGAGTAAACCAGGTTTTTTTAAAAAAATCTGAAACATTTCGGGGGGGGTTGAACCCCTAAAACCACCCCCTCGCTACAGGCCTGACTGTATGCAAAGCTTCTTCCACTGGTTCATATGCCAAACCAGTTCACATATTGGGAACGCAAGGACAAGGTAGGGCCAGAGATTGTTATGAACTTTCTTGAAGGCAGAAATAGGGAAAGCTCCCTGCAAGGTCCTTTCTTGTAGCAAATTTTCCCAAACCTCTGCAAACCCAATTTTGAAACAGTGATTGTTCACCCACAAAAGACTGACAGATTTCAAATCATCATTCCTGGAGATCCTGTTTCTCCATATTTCCCATGGCCCAATCAGTTGCTATCCAAACAATAATACCAGAAGTTGCAGTTTTATCAGCACTATGTGAACTACTTGCTCCTGCTGTAAGATAAAATAGTGTGAAAGATGAGTAAAACCATTAAAATCGATGTGGAGCCTAAGCTGAATTTGGCCTTTTGAAGTTATCAACTGTCCCTATCTCTACCCAACCTTAGAAACACACCAAGTACTGAAGTTGCATTAGGGGAAAGACACTGGGACTCTAAAACACCATGTGCGGCCGTTTAAGGACAAAAAGAGAAACAAGTTTCAGGAGAAGAGGGTTTCACAAAACATTTTCTTACATAAGATTTCCTGGTAAAGTAGGCTTGGTTTGTACATTAGGAAATGTACAGTAGGTTAAAAGTAATGTAAAGTGTTTAACTTTCTAGTTTTTTAATCTTCTTTTTCTGATTGCAAATTAGTTTAACCAGTGTGATTTCACAGTTAATCCAAGTACAAAGATTGCAAATCAACCTGCATCATTCAGGTTAATAGTTTCCAAGCTTTTCCCTTGCTATTGATTTAATTCACTTATTGACAAAAAAGAACAAGAATGGACAAGAACTGGTTTATGAGACAAACTCATAAACACTCAGCCAATACTGCAACTATGAGGGTAAATCAAGAGAAGTTCCATGATTTCTTTAATCCATGTCTTTTATTTTGAAAATTGGACATTAACTTTGCAAGCATTTATGTTCATACCTGCTGCAGATTTCAGTAGGACTATATGCAAACTGACACTCAGAAATAAGACTGTTAACAATATAGCTGCTCATCTTGCTTCTTATTTGTTGTTAATTCGTTCAGTCGCTGTTTCATGACCTCATGGAGCAGCCCATGCCAGAGATCCCTGTCAGCCGTGGCCACTTCCAGTCAAGCCAAAGTCAAGCTGGTCACTTCAAGGATACCATCCATCCATCTTGCCCTTGGTCTGCCCCTCTTCCATTTTCCCCAGCATCATTGTTGTCTCCAAGCTTTCCTGTCTTCTCATTATGTGGCCAAAGCACTTCATCTTTGCCTGTAATATTCTTCCCTCCAGTGAGCAGTTGGAATTTATTTCCTGGAGTATGGACTGGTTTGATCTTCATGCAGCCTGTTTCTTATCTCCTAAACCTTTTCTTCTTGTGGATTGCAAGTGGCAGCTGCTGCAATTGTAACCCAGCTCCATTTTGTATCCTATATAATACCACTCCAGGATATTGTAGAAATGAGCAGGGAAGTAGAATTAGTAACTATTAACACACAAAAATGTGTTATGAAAATCCTTTAAAAATACCCTTGTTAGATAAGAGGAAAAGAGGGAAATCCTAGAATTGGTTTTCTGGAGGAGGAAAAAGACCCTCTCATAAATTTGGGTTCAGCTCAATATGTTCATCCTTGACTCTTTTTTTTTCATGTCAGGAGCAACTTTAGAAATGGCAAGTCACTTCTGGTGTGAGAGAATTGACCTTGTTTGTAAAGTTGATACATGAAAGGATCCTAGTAGACCACAGGCTAACCATGAATCAAGAGTGTCATGCCAAAAAAGCCAATATAATAATAATAATAATAATTATTATTATTATTATTATTATTATTAATATTCCACCCTATTTCCCTGAGGGGACTCATAGTGGCTTCCAACATCATAGCAATCAAACATTCAATGCCTATACAGACAAAAAAAGCTAAGAATATAACACAAACAATAATAACAGAAGAAAAGACCAATTGGACTATTGTACAAAATTACATCAGCAAGACAACTGGAAAAGTAATCTGAGTTATAACAGAACTGGCAATGTTAAGTCAAATGAGTAAGAACACCATCAGACCGAGAGGAGAGGGCAAGAAGATTATAAGCATCCTTGTATCACCACCACCCCCACTACAGTTTCTTTTTTTCCCGTTTTCTTTTTTTCCTTTCGGTTTCCTTTTACTTTCCTCCCCCTCCTAATCCCCACGTTACCTCCTACAACCCTAACTAAAACCCAAATACCACCCTCTCTCCTTTTTACCTTTCCTCCCCAACGCTGTTAATATTTTTTTAACGTGCTATTGTTAAAACTTTAATAACATTGATTTTTAAAAACCAATAATCAACATTGTCCAAAAAGTAAAGTGACAGTGACATTAACTTTAAATAATTATAATTATAACAGTTTAAAAGACCAGCTGAGGTAGAGTAATATATTCGTTCCTTTACATTCCACTTAGTTTGTGCTGTAAACTTTATTCCTTCTTCTCACTGTATGCTTGAGAGCATAAGAATGTTTTAAATTGTTTCTTAAAAGAAAGTAAGGACGGGACCATTTTGACCTCTTTGGGGAGGGCATTTCAAAGTTGGGGTGATCCCTGAGAAGGCCCCCTCTCTCATTCCCACCAGCTGTGCTTGAGGCGGGGGCGGGACTGAGAATAGGGCCTCCTCAGCAGATCGAAGAGCTTGAGCAGGCTTGTACAAGGAGATGCAGTTTGCTAAATAGTCTGGGCCCGAGCTGTTTAGGGCTTTAAATCTAGATTGCATATCTAGGAATGTCGTATCCAGCCTAAGGGAAGGAGCAGGGTCAGATCTCACTTGGAATTCTGTGTCCAGTTCTGGTCACATAGTTTAAGAAGGATACCAACAAACTGGAGCGTATCCAGAGAAAGCAACCAAGATGATAAAAGGTCTGAAACCAAGCCTTCTGAGGTATGGGTTAGGCTGTTGGGCATGTTTAATTTGGATAAAAGCATGCCGCGAGGTGACATGATAGCCATCTTTACATCTTTGAAGGGAGGTCATATGGAAGATGGAGCAAGCTTTTAATTGCTACAGGGATTATTAGATTGAGAACCAATGGATTAAAATTACAGGAAAGGAAAGAAAGAGAGAGAGATCCTACCTATACCTTGACTGTAAAAATTATTCAATAGTAGGATAAACTGCCCTGGAGAATTGTGGATAACATTTCTTTGGACGACTTTTAAAAGAGGATGGATTAAACTTTCAGGAGTGCTTCACTTGTACAGTATATTCCTACTTGGCAGGACAATGGACTAGATTGCCCTTGTGGGTACTACCAATTCTAAGATTTTATGATGCTAAATGATGGATCCTCCCGCAGGTGTACATATCTTTGAAATATGATGTTAATCCTTCTGCTTTCTTGATTGGTCTATTTTTGTGACTAGGATATACTATATTCTAATCATGACCCATAACCCACCAGGTTTCAATGATGCCTATTTACTTAGTTGCCTTCCTATATAAGATTTCAAGTTTAATTTGTTTAACATAACCCATGCATCCTGACATGAGGTATAAAGTCTTGAAGTAACCAGACCTAACCTTCAATACACTGGAATTGTGTATTGTATGTACAATATTTAAGGGGGAAAATTAAAAATGATGTATGAAAGTGAAGAAGGTTAAATAAATGCCATAGATTTTAGCTGAAATTATTTACCAATCACATGGAGTACATTTCACTTTTAGCTCTCTCAATAGCATCTTTTTTAATGCCTGAGTAGAGCTGGGGTTGTGCCAGGTCAGTGTCCTGAGGATCTGGCTCCTTGGCTCTTTTTTCATTAGGAACATTTGACATTTTTATTCTGGAGAGAAAACACAAAAATTAACCTTCTGACAAAAGAGTTATAACAGAAGGCTTTTAAAAGGGAATTGTCTCATTAAGTGGGCTGACTCAAGGGACAAAAGGCTAAAGTGTTTCCTTAAACTAAATGAATGCAGCTGGCATTGATGAATAATTCTACAATTGTAACCTAAAGTGAATATTGTACATTTATGCTGTGGGAAAATCACCTCCACTGACTTTATTCTCTAGATGGAGGGGTGGGGAAGGGATTGAGATGGAGAGCCAGAGAAGAGCTGGGGGGAAAGCTAGGGGAATCCTGGAATTCATAACTGGGGGCCCGTCCAGACAGGACTCTTATTGCGGGAACTCCCACAATAAAGGAGGGGCTGTCAAGACAACGTTCTGGACAGTCCCAAATTAATTTGCTACAAAACAGGAAAACCCTGGTTTGTAGCAAATTAATTTGATAGTGGATTTATTCTGCACCTTCTTGGAAGGCATGGGATAAATCCACTATTTCGGAGTCTGGACTGCATAATACTGCAGTCCAGACGGTATTTCCACAGTTTACCAGGCTAAATAAGC